TAATATTTTACAATTTAAATGCATGATAATGCTTATGATTTATTTATAGCTTGAATACATATATGTTGTTTTACGTGTTTATGGTTGAATTGGAGAAATGGAGGTTAAAGGTAACAGAAAGCTTGTGTGATTAAGTGACTGGATGAAATGGTAGCCTTACTGAATATCTGAGAGATGGTGGATGGACCGGGTACACAGGAAATCCTACCGTGAACGTGTCTCATACCGGACGTGGTATGAAGACTTGATAACTTGGTGCTCATACCAGACGGGGTATGAGGACGACCCGCTTTACTCTCATACCAGACGGGGTATTGAGGTTTGGTAATTTAGTACTTATACCGGATGAGGTATGGAGACGGCCCATAATTGAGAATGTTAAAGAAAAAAGTTTACGTGTAGTGGAGACATCCCTATGAACCCCCATTGATACCAGCAGGCTGGTAGAAAAAGGGGCAATTATTGTTTGATGATTTGAATGTGAAAGTATAATATGTGATATGTTACTAATTATATCAGAATCATGATATATATAATGTTATTATTTTCTATAAGTTATTTTTTGTAAATCTCACTGCGGTAATTGAACAGTTAATGGTTTTATTATTGATAAATGAAGTTGCTTAATTTAGTGCTCAATTAGTTTTTTTTTTATTTTTTTCTACCAATTTTTGTTTTTGTGTCGGTGATATCGTGTGATATTCTTACTAAGCTAGTGTAGCTCATCCCTTATTTAACCATTTCAGATCAAGAGGATAATGGTTTAGAACCCGATCCGCAAGAGGGTTGCGATTAGAATGCTAGTTTTTTTTATTTTTTTTTTATTTTCCATTCATTTCCTTATTTTTTTGTATTTCTTTTAAAATAGTGAATTCTAGAACACTAATTGGTACTTTAGTTATTGTATAAAGAATGTAAACCTTAAACATTTATTTCGATTCTGCACTTTAATTATCATTATTTTTTAAATATTTTCAGAGTCGTTATAATTTAGATTCTAACTTATAGATAAATTATCATTAAATTTAAATACGGTGAACCTATCCACATTTCTCTCACACGTTTTCTTGGTCTAGTATAAATTAAATATAAAATTATTAATAAACTAAAATTAATTCACGCATTTTGACAATTATTTATTTACATCTTTATTTAAGAATTTGACCGCTACGATTTCAAATAAAAAATTAAATACATTGTATTTCTTCAAATTTTTTCACACGTTTTCTTAATCTAGTTAAAAAATCTGAACGAATTAAATTATATATTATTATATTACTATCTAACTATGAATAACATTTATAATGAATATTTAACCTTAATTTGCATATAAAATTATTATTAAAATTAAATTAATTTGCACATTTTAATAATTAATTATTTATATTTTTATTTAAGAATTTGACATTTCGTATAAAAATTTAACATTAATTTGTATTTAAATTACTATTAAACCCCAAGCCCTATTATAAAGATACACAATCTTCCAATATATCACCTTTTTTTAACTACCCGTTTCTCTCTAACATCAGCCTCAAAATCAGCAGAGGGAGGTCGCAATGTCTGCACAGGAGCGTTCACCGCAGGCGGAATCCGAGTACTCTCTCTTTCTCTCTTCGTCTCATTCTCGTGGATCGTGCTATTTTTTAAATTTCTCGCTGTACCACCACCGATTTGTGTTTGTTTTGCTCTTTTTTTTTTTCAATTGGTTCGCTGTATTTTTCATATTGACGAGCATCTTTTCCATTTTTTACGAGCATTCTTTTGATTTAACCGTTGGTAAGTTTTCGTGGCTGTAGCTGTAGCGTGGGGTGGGGGTGAGGGATTGGTGTTGTGTTCTTATTTTTAAGCATAAGAAATTTGGTGTTGCCTTTACTTGGACTTAATATTCCTTGTGGCTGGTTTGATATAATGCGTGAATTACTTTTGCATGTCGCGATCCATGTATTGTTCATGCTCCGAGTTCGCATCTCTCTTGTTTTCACTCAACCGAAATTCAACTTTGCATATGATTGTTCATGTTAACGTGGTTTTCCTTTAGTTACTGATTTAATACGAAGAATGCTGCAAATTTTTCTGTCATTTTAGTATAAGCAGAATAGCTGCCGTTTAGTCCACTTGTTTGTTTGTGGACATAATCTGGCCAAGGAACTAGATGGCGAAGATCTAGGGAGGCTTTTTAATATTTTGACTTCCTCTCATGCGTAAATTACCTTTGTACAGGGATGGCTTCCCCTTGGTGCCTTGTTTATGATATTCTTTTTTTTATCTGAAAAATGAGCAAAAATTTTCCAGCTTGATTGTTTTTTTTTTCCTTCAAACTATAAAAAATTGTATGGGGACGTCTGAAAGGCATCAAGAGACTGTGACTCTTGGACCAATTTTCTTTAATCCTGTAGCAGGGAGATTTAATCCTCTAAAGGCTCTTTTTGTTATTTTGTAGCAAATAACCACAAAATAATCAATAGCTTGATTATTGATTTTATTTCCTTTATTTTGAGGAAGTTCCTCTGCTTCTGCGATTTGACAACATGGCATTGAATCTTTAACTGCTAGCTCGAGCATGTTAGGATGCATGTTAGTTCTGAAAGTTCTTTTGAGTCACCTAACTGGGGAAAAATATTATGAATCTATATGACTGTATTGGTTTCAATACTTCAGCTCCACATCAAATTTTACTTAACTAATCTGAATGAAGCATTTTGCTTTGGAAGTTTATGTATGATGGGTTCTCCTCTCTCACAAAGGAGGTCTCATCTAGAATCAGTAATGTTTATTGATCCTTTAACAGTTCATTTGACTGAGTGGATAGTAGCATATGAAATATATGTGGAGATTGCGTATTGCCTGTCACAGACTGCCTTTTTCATGATTTGGTTAAATTTTGTGTCGAATCTGATATGAATTTTCTCTGCTAGTTTACAGAATGAACTTGGTTGTACTGCCTTTTCCTTTCTCTGTCTCAACTAGCCAATATATGACAGATTCCATCAATCATTACCTTCTGGACATCCTGAAATAATCGAGTTGATAGAGGAATAAAGAAAGAAACCTGCAATACGGTCTAAGATATTATAATAAGATGGCCTTGCTAATGGTTACACCAAATGGTTCATTAGTGATTAGGTTTTCTTTCTCTTGTTATTATCTCACTTATGGGCTTTAGCAAATACTGTATCTAGTTGCATCCTGAAAAGCAAGAAAATCACGTATGATTTGCATGATTGAAAAGATTCTTTTTAAAAAGAAAAAAAAACCTCCTCTTTCTTATCCTTGCTGGTGAAAATCTCCATTATAAAATAAAGAAAAAAAATTACTGGGTATTATTCTTTTTTGTACCTAGGAATAGTGTCTTTTTGGCCTTTGGAAAATGCTTGAATTTTTGGTAGTGGTTGTTTGGCTGTCATATGCAATGAGTTACAGCTCTGCAGACTACATCCAATTTCAAAACTGTCTCTACTTTCTCTGTTCTTGTAAGTTTTTATGAAGCACCAATTTGATCTGCTAATATCTCATTGTGCTAATTGCCTTATTTCCGCTGGCTATAAGTCTTGATGGTTCTGATCCTATACAGCATTCTTTTAGGACCATATGCTCTCTGGCTTCTGAATCCAGAATTGATATATATTCTTTATTAGTAAATGATTATTACTTATTCTCTAAAGAAATGATTTTTATT